ATATATAAATGAAAAAAAGAAACATTAAATGATTGTGGTTCTGAATGAGATCAGACCCCTAAGTCTTAGTAAAATTATAAAGAAGCCACTGGAACTGCAAACATAAATAAGTGTTACTCTGGGGAGAAGCCCACAGGGACTCAGAGCTCACAGTGCAGGCCTTCCATGTCTCACATTTCTCCGAAGGATCAGATTGACATGAATTTCAGAAAGATAAGTGTCAAGACCCTCACTGATCTGAGCTGCAGTGAATTAAGAGGAAAGGTTCCTACAGAAAGTAACCTGTTTGAAGATGTGAAAGAAAGGATCAGGATAAATCGTCACCGTGCAGTTTCACAGTGGAGGATATTTGTCTGTGCCAGGAACTCACTGAACAATGTATTTGTAAATGACATAGAAAAAGGGTGAACAGTAAGAAAGTTTGCTGGCAGGGAAATAAAGATGAGGTCTGAATGCCAAGAATCGTAAAAGGATCTGGCAAGTCTTAACAGGCAAAAAGAATTCAGTGCAAATAAACATTACAATGCAAATAAAAGGAAAATCAATTTTATATGCACAACTATCTCTGAGCTGATTTACTCTTCAAGAGTGGTAACAGCCCTAAAAATGGCAATTTGATGCTCATTGCTGCTTCATGAAGCAAAATGTACATTACCAACTTTTTTCTTTTTTCCTTTGGAGAGGGTAGGGGAGATGAAGACAAAAACATTAGACAGTCCTGTACAAATTAATGAACTGTCACCTCCAATACTGCCTCTCATCTCAAATACAATTATAGAAACACAGAACATCCCTGGTTGGAATAACACCTAAGAGAAGTAGAATAATGTGCAGAGACAGTTGACAAGAATGCTGAAAATTTGGAATGTCTTTGATTCAAGGAATCACTAAATATAAAACATAAGACAAGCTGTTAGGTTTAAAACAGATCTACTAAATCAAGCATAGAATGGAAGGAGTGAGTAGGAAATATTGCTCAGTCTGTAACTTGTATAAACAGCAACCAAAAACAGAAGCAGTACCTGTTGACTCAGACTCATTATTGTTGACAATACTGCTGAAACTGAAAACTTATTACAGTGATTTTAAAAATAACATTTCCTAAGCCAAATAGAGAAAAAGAGGCAAGAATCAGTCACAAGTTCCTGGAGCCACCAGTGACAAATTTGTCTTAGCTGCTTAATATTGCTGGTTTGCAACAAATCTGATGACAGAACTGACCCATAACAAACTGTAATCCACACATCCAGAAGCACTGCTAGATTGTATCACAGATCCAATGGCACTTCTGCCTGCTTATGATTCTTCTGTGAGTTTCACTGACCCGAAACCAAACTATGCTGACACCTTTCCATGCTATAAAACTGGGAAATACAGGAGGAAATCAAAGTGTAACACCGTTTGTTGCATTCCTGCTGAGCACATGGCAGCTGTGATTAACAAAAATAAGTTAACAATCCAGCTGCTCTTAGGTCATTGTCATCCATAGAGCTAATGCTCTGTTTTGTGACCTGTTACTATGTTATACTCTACCAGTCCAGAAGTATTTTTTTTCCTCAATAAAAATAAACTAACTTGAAGCTACGTTTTATATTACAGAAATAACAAGAGGCTCACAGCACTTCATCTCCTACTAAATTTGCCCAGTGCCTACAGAGCTGGGATGTCCATGTGAGGCAAATTTCAGAGAAATCGGCCGGCTTCACAGAGTAACACAGAAGAGTGTCTCTATCTTGCAGGACATAAAACACCAGATAAATTCTGAAATGAGTCACTGCAAATGTGACCACCCTGTACATTCAAGTCAACAGTCTGATGATGGCTTTCCACCTACATCCATTCTTTTTGAATACTGTCTCAACATAAAGGACACAGCCAAATCTGGCTGGATGCCTCTTCACATAGCTGCAGGGTCACTGAACACAGAGGCAATAGCAACTTTAATTGCATCTGGAGCAAACACCAATTCTACTATTAGAACTTGTGGCAGAACTGCCCTCCACATCGCAGTGTGCGCAGCATCATCCAAAGCAGGCAGAATTTTAGGTGTCAACATAGACTGCATCTCTTTACTATTAAGTAATGGAGCCAATGTAAATGTTCAGGATCATGAAGGACGAACACCTGTGCACGAGGCCTGCTCAGGGGGTAGAAGGGAAATAGTCGATCTCCTGTTAGAGTATAAAGCAGACATGAACAGTCTAACAAGAGATGGGCAATCTCCACTCTTTCTTTTTCTTCAAAAGAGATCACATTTAAAAGACAGAGCACTGCTGAACAAGTTGCTGGGATTCTCATATCCACTGAAATTAAGAGATAGTCAAGGAGATCTACCCACTGGCCTTCTGTTCTCAGAATTCCAAATGCTGAAGGACTTCCTTCTAACATTATCGCAGAAATTACTGCCCCTGGAGGATATATGCAAGATCACTGTTAGAAGAATATATGGAGAAAACAACAAGTACTGGCTCAAAACCAGGCTTCCAGCAACTGTATGGAATTCACTATACAGCTATCAGAATGTAGGAAAAGACATGTGTGATGACACTGAACAGGAAAGCAAACTGAAATACTGTAAACCCTGAACAGCCTGTAGAGAAATTAAAATTGATCCAGAATAAAGATTAATGTTGTGTGTTCTGAAGTAGCTCCAAATTTTCATTTGCAGAGTATTAATTACCAAGGTAATATTTACACTGATATCCTCAAAGAGCTGCCATTTCAGGTGCAGAAAACTGCAGCAGGCAGAGCAGAATACACACTCACTTCACCGCTAGTGGGTTATGTGAGGTTAAGCAGGAGTGAGGGGGAAAAAAAGCAAGGCATAGTCAACCTACACTTCACATTTAAGCTAGCCTGTAAGTTAAAACTGCTCTTGTGATTAAAGTTCCAAAAAAAAAAAAAAAAGAAAAAAAAAGAAAAAAAACACACACACAAAAAAACACCTCAAAGGAACATATAAAAAGCATCTATTACAATCCATTCAAAGTGTATTTTTCTAAGTCTGATCTTCATTACATTTAAAAGGAATTAAAATAAACTTTTCATTCCTTCACTGAAGTCACCTACAGTCTCAGTCCCCTATATTAGACAGGAACTATTTTGAAAGACAGGAGTTAATTTGCAAATAAGGGAAAACTTAAGGACAAAAAAAAGAAAATAACTATAATTTGAACATATTACAGAATGGCCAGGGTTGGAAGGGACCTCAAGGATCATGAATCTCCAACCCCCTGGCCACATGCAGGGCCACCAACCTCCACATTTAATGCTAGACCATGGGGCTGCCCAGGACCCCATCCAACCTGGCCTTGAACACCTCCAGGGATGGACAGGGCATCCACAGCCTCTCTGGGCAGCTGTTCCAGCACCTCACCACTCTCTCTGTAAAGAACTTCCCCCTGATGTCCAACCTAAATCTCCCCTCCCTCAACTTAAAACCATTTCCCCTTGTCCTGTAGTTATCAATCCTTTCAAAGAGTTGATTCCCCTCCTGTTTGTAGGCTCCCTTTAGGTACTGAAAGGCTGCAATGAGGTCACCCCACAGCCTTCTTTTCTCCAGGCTGAACAAGCCCAGCTCCCTCAGCCTGTCCTCATAGGGGAGGTGCTCCAGTCCCCTGATCATCTTTGTGGCTCCTTTGGACCCTCTCAACAGCTCCCTGTCTTTCTTGTACTGGGGGCTCCACACTTGGACACAGTACTGCAGATGGGGCCTCACAAGAGCAGAGTAGAGGGGAACAATCACCTCCCTGTCCCTGATGGCCACCCCTCTTCTGATGGAGCCCAGGATCCCATTTGCCTTCCGAGCCACAAGGGCACACTGCTGGCTCGTGTTCAGTTTTTCATCCATCAAGACCCCCAGGTCCTTCTCCACAGGGCTGCTCTCAAGGACTGCTCCTTCCAATCTGTATGGATGCCTGGGATTCCTCCGGCCCAATGCAAAACTCTGCACTTTGCCATTATTGAATCTCATCAGATTCACTCGGGCCCACCTTTCCAGCCTGTTGAGATCCCTCTAAATGGCATCCCTTCCTTCTACCGTGTCAACTGCACCACTCAGCTTGGTGTTGTCAGCAAACTATTATTCAAAAAAATAAATATTTTTCAAAGCTTAATCAAAATTTACTTTCAAGTCAAAGTAATCTAGAAATATACCTGTAGTAAAGAAAGGGTGGTACAGGTACAGCAGAGAGGATTTATTTTTCATTTACAATAGAGCTAAATTTAAGAGCCAAGATCCCCTCAAAAGTTGTGAAGCTGTTTTTTCTCCCATCACATAAACTATCCTTGTTTTCTTTAGCCTCCAGTGATAGCTTAACAAACTTACTTTAATGTCTCGATGCATCACTCCCATGCTGTGGATATAGCACACTCCTTCTAATAACTCTTCAAAAATTTTCATTGTCCAGCTAACATCCACAAGATGGTATGGACCTTAAAGCAATTTAAAATATACATTATTTGGGTAAATTTTGATGAGTTATATAAGTTTATGTTACTATGTCTCATTGAAACCAGTTTATTTATGATGTGGAAAAAAATTTTAATGGAACGAGCACGGTTTAAAAGATGGAATTTCCCACAGTTCTCCTAAGAAAGTATTTTGAAACACTAGAAAGTCACTAAGCTCAGAATGCAGTTCAGTTCATGGAACATCACTGCATCTGCATGCAGATTTCTCCAAGTCCCACACACAGTTTTACAGTTAGGAATTTAACGATCACAAACTCTAAAGAACATGCATTCACTATCTGTCCATTTGTCTCTGACTTGAATTCTGCCAATCTGCTTTGAATGAAAAAAAAAAGTAAAAATCTACTGCTTAAGCAACTTTCTGAGAAAGAGCAGATTCTCTCATTTAAGAACTCTGTTCCAAACAAGCATCACCCACACACAGCTCTGTGTCGGTAACAAGTATGGCTCTGGCATACATTCATTCTTTTTCAGAGCTGCCTGAAACTCATGAACTCGAATCTCTTAACACCACCTATCATATGAAGGTTCAATACTAGCAGCTATTGGATGAAAGGAATAAAGAATCTAATTAAGGAGATCCATACTATAAGCTGCTGAATTAAAACAGAACATCCTGCAAACGGACTTCTAATTGGGAAAACATCAGTGTTTGCTTTATAGTAAGGACATTTTAAAAACGGCTATGAATCTTACCAGCAGCATCCTCTGCTCTCTCACTGCACCTTCTGTTACGGGCAGCAATCCAGTCCCACAGGGACAGTTCACACAGTTGCATCTGTATATACAGCATCAAACGATACTCCACCTAACAGACAAACATGGTACTGCTGATGTAATATGAACAGTATCACCTTACTTATCTTCTTTAAAGGCAATAGAAACTAGATTTATCTTAAGCCAAAATTCAGTTACCAAAATGACAACAAATATAGTACTACTGCTATCTAGTTTGGGCTTTGTTTTTGTTGCTGCTGTTCTTCCTCAAATTTTAGCAATTGTTATAAGACCAAAGCTAACAGAACAACCAGCTAGATTTATTACGAATATTTAAGGATTCAAATGAGACTATAAAAGCAGTTAGACTTACTGCATGGAGGTTCATTCTGACTTAATAGTGTAAGCAGATATAAAACAGATATAAAACAACAAACAAATTCAACCTGTTGATATGGAACTTTGATTTGTTTACACAAACATGTAAAGTCATTCTCAGACAACACATGTGTTCATTTGAAAATCTGTACAACTCAAACAGACACCTTTAAAATCTGAGATTTCTTTCACAAGGGAACTCCAACTGATAGCAAATGCTTGAAACATTCCTGAGCTGTCTGCATTGTACAAAACACTGCAGGGGTACAAATGCCAACAAAGTTTAAGAAGCATAAGCAGAGTGGTCATTCCTTCCCTCTCACATGTAATCTTACACTGGACAGGGTCAACATCACATACCCAGGCACTTTCACCAATATCTAAATTAGCTACTGTTGCTGAATATTGAAAATGTTCAAGTTTGTTGTTTTTTTTTTTCCTCAGAAACACAGAAGTAGTACTTTTTTCTCATGTAGGAACATCAAAAGGACTCCAAATGACTAACACAGAGACTTTTCTGTACATGAGTTTTGCCACATACACATTGCTTTTCTGGTCATTTTCCTTGTAATTACTCAAAGTAATAAGAGTCAGTACTTTTGGTTCTAATAAGAGTCCTTTAAAATTTATCATTATAAACAATTTCTGCAACATCCAAATTTTCCTTTGCAGCCTTCATGAAATCAGACAGCAGCTGGATGTACTTAAAGAGAACTGCACTTACCTCAAACCCTCCACAGAGAGCTACATCATTCCCAGAGCATTCTTCAGTGCAGGACTTGCTTCCAGCACTAGCATCTAGATCCAGACTACAGGAATGGCCATACGATGAATCATTTTTAAAATCAGTTGATCCACAGTCAGCACTACTGACAGAGTCGTCTTGTAGTTCTATGGGTGATTCACATCTATTTGGTTTCATTTGTATTTCCTTACTATCACTGTTAGTGAAATCATTCCTTACATCCATATTCTGCACCAATTCACTATCCTGATTTCTAAGATATGTACTGTCACCAGGCTTTTCTTCTTGTGAAGTAAGGTCAGCAAAAATAATTGAACTACCACTTTCCACACTCTGAATGTGACAGTGATCACTGAAAAGAATAAAGAGAGAGAAATCTAAACACAAAGAGTTTTATGCCATGTACTTGAAATACATCATTCTGAAAACTTCATTTTTTATTGTAAACTGTATTCCGGAGTTAAGAGTTCAGCTACTTCCCCACATAAAACTTTATGATCATGAACTGCCAAGTGTTGGCTCCAGCCTTTTTATACTCTTCCTCAGCATGGATTTCTGACAGCTGACCCAGATAGCTCACAGATACACACAGCCATAGGTCACAGTATCCACTGGGTAGAACTGTGATGATTCATTCCTTTTCAGTTAGGAAGTTATACTGTAATATTTTTCATTGGACTCCACCTCCTTACCAAAAAGGCTAATCAACACTTCTGAGAAACAGAAGGTCACATTGCCCTAAAAAGACTCTGCAGTATTAATCAGTGTTGGCAAATACCATAAAGCTTTTGAAGTAAATTTGAACCCCCATACTACACTCAGTAACTCTGAAATTGTGAGATCCAAGGCAGGCAAGGGTATCCAGCAACATTCTTCAGCTCACAACCAGAACAGAAACAACAAGGATAACTAACGCTTTTTCCCTGTAATTAGAAAGTAAAAAGCAACACATGCTGAATTCTGTACTCTTTTAATGCTAATTAAAGAAAAATAAAAGCATTTGAATTAAAGACAAGGAAATGTTATCATGGAGGTGTATAATACTTACTTGCCACACTCCTGTTCCAAGGGTAATGACTGCAACTTCAATATTGTCTTATCTATTGGATGAAAAGATATGTATGGTACGTTAGGAAACAAAACATGCACATATGTACTACAAATTCATGTTTAAGCTACAGTATCTTTCTGAACTCCATTATCTGTAAATATCTCTTTGCTATACAAAAGCCATTTCTCAGACTAATAAACAACCCTGAGTAATCTGTTCTTCCTTTTTCTTTAAATGAAATTAAACGTTATAAGAAATCTCTGGAAGTGTTATATTTGGT